TTATAAAATTTTTGATATATAACGCGCGCTCTGATTGGCTGACGACCGTGTTTATATCAGAGGACAGAGACACGGCTTACCGGCAAAATTTTCTTTTCGCTCGAAAAATTTTATAAAAGAAATATAAAACGGCCGCTTGTGTCTCTGTCCTCTGATATAAACACGGTGGGAGTTGAAAAACACTCGAGAAGCAAGAGAAACACTCGCTACGCTCGTGTTCCTAAGCTTGCTTCTCTCGTGTTTTTCGAACTCCCACCGTGTTTATATCAGAGGACAGAGACACGCGCGCCGTTTTATATTTCTTATTTTTAGAGTTTCAAATTACCAAGATGTCGTCCGCTGCGTCARGAGGAKTGGCCTCCCGGAATTAAAATATAATTTTATAAAATTCAAGATGACTATTTTGCCAAAGATTAGCACGAGTATACAGGTGAGCCTATATTTTTTGATTTTTTGTKTTCGGGCTCCCTATAATTGAATGACGTCATAGCAAATGGTTGACAAGTCGVTCACATTAACAAAGTTTTTAAAATGTTTGTCCAGGAATGATTRGAATCCAGTGAATCCCAGAGAAGTTAATATTACATATTTCTGTTTATTATATATTATAATCTCTATTACAATATTGTATTTCTTGTTTGTTTTAAATTGTCCCCTTTGTACTCTTAATTCGCAAATATATTTTTTGTGAGTGGCGAGAAACTGATGCCTATACGATTTATCTTGTATGACCAAAAGGTCAATTACGTGTACTTCTTAAAGGTCCACATTTCGGTTAAAAAAAGGTAAAATTTTACTATGATTGTCGATTTGGTCCACTTAGGGCAAATAAAAACCCCTAGCTACGGGCCTGCTACATCTTGTTGTCGTTCTGCAATGTTTTGTACTCGCTTGAAAATTCACCAATAATCTGTCATATGTCTTATATGTGTAGTCTCCTTTCGAAGCGTTCTTTCTTTTACATATGAAATATATTTACTTTTATCAGTCTGCAGTCTGCAGTCTGCAGTCTGCAGTCTGCGGTCTGCGGTCTGCAGTCTGCAGTCTGCGGTCTGCATGTGTCCAACACCGCATACACAAAGCAGTTCTACGAACTCATTTGCATAATGCTCAAGGAAGTTTGGGTGTTGTTTGATTCCTTTCGAGCTTCAACCACTACTTTATAACGTGTATATATCATTTGATTCATGTGAAAGACGACAATATTTAGTATTATAGTCCTCGGTACAACCACAACGAGTGTTGCAGAAGGTTTGGTTCGGTTTTCCCTGCGAGACTTCGATATCTCATGATGCATTTGATGCGTCGTTGCAGATTTCAATGACATACGTATTGGTAATCTGAAATGAAAAAGTCTTATTTAAGGCAAAAGATTTGAAGGTAAAATATCATAGATACATAATCTATATATATGATATCAAAGAGGCAAGATTTTGCTGTAACTCCGAGTTTCGTGCTACGCACTCATCAGACAATATTTTTAAAATGATTAGGATTAAATACTGTCTGATGAGTGCGTAGCACGAAACTCGGAATTACAGCAAAATCTTGCCTCTTTGATATTATATATATAACTAGCTCTACACTTTATGTGTATTGAGCACTCTTTAATGGGATCAGCCACTTCCTCATACGATTACATACATACTCTATATAGCCCTTGGTTTGTAAGCACTCGATACGTGAAGTGTCTTTGGTTGCTTTTACATTTTTTTCTGAACTATTCTGTATTTTAATATATTTAATATTTGATGTATTTTTATTTTGTATTTTAATATTTTTTAACTTTTAAAAAAGTACTACAAGTACTTCTACTGTTATCGTATTACAGCGGTCCTTCATAATAGATGAGGTGACGGTTTTGTCCGCCATTTTGGACGGGTAGGCATAGTGTCKCAAAATAACAAGGAATGACCGGGAAATCGATGTCAAATAATTCTCGCTGAATTCAAATTCAGAAAGAATTATCATTTGCAAACGTTAGATACTGCAAAAAGGAGTTAACTGGCCAAATTTGAAAGGCGTACTTGATCTAGAGAGCGAGTAAACTCATTTTTAGTTCTCCATACATTTCTTTGTATTTTTCACGCGTGTCACGCAGCACTGATGACCCCGGAAATGATAACGAAATGTATTGAAATTACAAAGAAATGTATGGAGAACTAAAAATGAGTTTACTCGCTCTCTAGATCAAGTACGCCTTTCAAATTTGGCCAGTTAACTCCTTTTTGCAGTATCTAACGTTTGCACATGATAATTCTTTCTGAATTTGAATTCAGCGAGAATTATTTGACATCGATTTCCCGGTCATTCCTTGTTATTTTGCGACACTATGCCTACCCGTCCAAAATGGCGGACAAAACCGTCACCTCATCTATTTTTATGTTATTAAGACATTATACATTGTAGGCTAGATTACCATCAGACGGACTGAAAAGCAGAAGATTTTAGCCACAAGATAACCAGACTTAACTTTGATATCCTATTCATTTTAGAACAATAAGCGACATAATGCTTATGATTTTGAAAACTAAACCAGACGGTGTGAAATCTTGAAAGGTAAGACGATAAAACACGTAAAGCATTTGACTTATCACAGGCTTACCAGTCGACTCCAGGCCTCCTATCATGGCGATTATCGGCGGGAAGCTGTTGATATCTCTTCAAATTAGGCCATTTTTAACGTCGATATTTTGGTTGTTTTGGGGGTTATATTCTGTTGTTTTTTTTTAGTTTAGAAATACACTTTAATGCTTTCTGAGTGTGGATTTGTGGTTCTTTTTGCCGTGCGATGCGTTTTTCATGGGTAAACTAGACGCTCTTGGAGCGTGAAGTCGGACTAGGTAGTTTTGATCAAGACACGAGTGAAAAGATTATGATATTATATTCTGCCTAATCATATGACTAGTAATAGTTCTCACTAAATCTGCCCCCGCTGTTAAATCTAGTATGGTCTTATTGTACTTGGAGGTAGCTGGGAGCCATTTATTTGTAATGAAAATATAGCTATCTGACCTGTATAAACAAGTGAACAGGAACTCAGTTATTTCTTAAAATGTCATTATCTTTACAACTTTATAATGAAGACATTTGATTTTATGCAGTTTCCTAATGCATCATGTTATGCATAACTAATTAGTTGACAGACATACAATGTAAAACATAACATTCAAGAGATTCCTATGAAATAAGTGTATTTTACTATGGACATTTTACTAATAGTTGAAACTTAAAATTAGAGAAATAAGGAAATATATTAGTATAGTGACTGGACAAAAGGAATTTTCCTTTTCCTTAAACTCTGTGAAAATAAAACAAAAAATTATATGTAAGCTTATAGTAAGTCTCATATTAGAATTGATTTGCTCTACATTTACTTATGATGATATATGAGTAGCTTTTTGGTAATTTTTGTAAACATCTCTTCGTGACAGATTGTTTGTGGATTGAGTCCCTTGGTTGTTTGTGTTTTACAAACTCAATGAAATCAAGCAATTCCGAATGACATATAAGCTTAAGCTTAATGACTAAAACGTTCCCTAAATCTTGACTTCAGTTGATTTCATCGCTTATGCATCAAGTCTTTCGATCCCGTGGTTTGTGTCTTCGAAATCCAATGAAATTGGCCAATTTAAATTACTAAAACAAAACACTTAAAATATCTATTAAACTTCTCAAATGATATAAGTTATAATCTCTTATTTCTTTCTAAGTTGAAATTTCAGTCGAATAAGTCTTACATACTGTACCTATCTAAACTTGAGTGAAATTCAGCAACTTACACCTCGTGTCTGTCGTGTGGATGCCTTTTCCCAGAAGACTTTGTGAACTCGAATTTTAGGTTAATCCTTCATTCACACTATTTTGTGTGTCCTAACTCAAACTTATATATGGATGGTACATTAAATTGGGTAGACATGGTTTTGATATACCGATACCACTAGCAGGGACCGCGGAGCAGGGGGGGCTGGGGGGCTGGGGGGCTATAGCCCCCCCAATAATTTTTCCGCCATTTTGAATTTTCTTAAATAAAGAAGCGCAGAGCCTCCTTATGAAATTTCACTTTTCATTGTATTTAAGATTGTGTAAAAACCAAGCATGAAAAATTATTGAACCTTTTTGCGAAGTCTTTGGGACTTTTTTGAATATCGTGTGACCGTGTGTGCGGTTTTAGCGGTCAGAAATATGTCTGGGATAATGCTTCAAAACGCTGGAAATGACATTTCCGAAAGTTAAGATTTCAAAATTTTCCGGTGTGTAATTCCCCCGGATTCCACCTAATACCTCCTGCCTTTGCAGCCGATAGCCCCCCCAAACAAATTACCTCTCCGCGGTCCCTGACTAGCGCGCCTCGACGATCAAAATCGAGATTTTTTCTGCCTATACGTTTACCAGACCCCTCTGTCCCTTAATCGTCGATAAGAAGTATGGCGACCCTCACAGTTATTATAATCCCCCTCCTATCTCAACCCTGATTGACTTTTTATTGCAAAAGAAAATAACAGATAAAAAGCAAAGGAAAACTCTCTTGTGTAACTTCCGACCGCTACTCTGCGAACAGAGGTACTTTTCTCACCCGCCGAGAAGCGAGAGAAAAATCGGGTGAGAAAAGTACCTATGTTCGCAGAGTATCCGACCGCTTGTCATTTAAAAAATGCATACAATGTATACTCAATTAGTCAATGCTTATTTGAAAATACTGTGTGAACGAGAAACCTCCCTATTTCGGCTTACTAAAAATCACTGATGAATAATTAAACTTATAACTAATGCTAGACCATCCTAACTGTAAAGGCGACGCGTGATAACAGGTCTATCGTATCACAGGACTGGGCTCCATCACAGGGGCCCAGGTACGATAAGATACGATATCTAGAGTAAGACTAACACTGAGGGTGGTCACTATAGTTGCAAAATCTCACTGAGTCCCTTCAATGAATAGTGTCTGAGAGACAAACACTGGAAAAAATCGCGCACCATAAAGGTTGTAAATTTGATGGAAATATGTTGTAAGTGTCCAAAATGATGTAAATTTGATGGAAATCATTTACATCAAATTTACATCATTTTGGACACTTACATCATATATACATCAAATTTACAACCTTTATAGCGCGACCTTTTTCCAGTGAAAATTGTTTCACACTGGCGTCCGTACACTCTATACAGTTTCCGATCACTTTCATCACAAACGTAAAGTCTTGTTAGCTATTATCTGGTTTTATTCGATCATTTTGATTAATTTAAGATCAATTTTAAAAGAGTTTTATGATATTTTCCAAAACAGGATGCACGTCTCGGCATTCAGTTTTTAACCTTTTTTGAAATAGTTTTATTCTACGAAAATCATCAATTTAAATGTCGTACAGCCATATTCTGCGTGCTATAATCAGCCTGTTTGCAAACACTTCACGACACAAAACTCAACTCAACCACATTCCTATGTCAAGCATCTTGTAGCTTTGCATACAATTTTTACGGAAATTAAATCTTTAATAGCAAAGCCATAGTTCTATATTTTTCCACTTCCAATTTCCAAAGTTATCATTAAATTGTGTTAGGGCTAACCCTGCACTCTGTCAGAGGATTTAGAAAAAAAAATCGTTATAATAGATGATTTTTGTACTCAATTTAGCACTATTCTACATTATATTCAACTGGAATCCCAACTCGAAATCCAACTCGAAGTCTAACTCGAAGTCTGACTCGAACTCGAACTCGAATTCCAACTCGATGGTTTATGTCTCCCTGTGAACGGGTCAAGTCCCACTATGCCCACAAGTCAACAGTCCCACAATTCCAACAAAAAAGAAAAAAGACTAATTTTTAAGCCTATGGCACGAGCATGATGGTATACTAGTGTCCAGGTACAAGTCCAGTCAGGATCAAAAAGTGTTTGTAATCTTTCAAACATTAACTTTCTGACGGAAAGCGAAAAAACTGAAAAGCTGGTAAAAGCATCTGAGCAGACAGAGTTACAAATAAAATTCCACAGTTTGACAATTCGATTGAAATAAGAACTTTGGAATGTTGTTGTTTTGCAGAAAGGCGTTTCCAGATTTAAGGCATTTTATTTTACAGGCTCTTGTTCGCCCATGCGATACAAAATTTACAAAGTTGTGTACATCCAGATCTATTTCTTTATATAAGCATTTATAGAAAAAAAACGAGATCTTTGAGTTCTCGGTCAAGTGCAAGCGGCAACAAATCATCTCTCCTATCTTGACTTGTAAAATCCACCTGGTGGCGCGCCGTTGCACACGCTCCACACTTTCCTTTTTAACATGACTGTGTTTGGGGACCAGGCTTGCGTTGCGTACCTCAGTTGGGATTTGACAAGAGACAAGTAGAGTGTGCGCCTGATAGTCTGATCGGTCAAAAGTGTGCATGTTCGTATCAACAGTCCCAGAAGCTTATTTGCTTTAGTGGAAACAGTGTGCATATGACAGTTCCAAGATAGATCACTAGTGATGGGGATCTTTAGATCTTTTTCCTTGCGAAGCTGTTCCAGCTGTGAAGTGCCTAGTCTATACTGGTAAACTAGGGGGGACTTTTTCCGTGTGATACTGAGCGATTTACACTTAGATGCATTGAAACTTATGTTGTTGCCTTCTGTCCAGTTCTGCATATTCGTAAGTGTAAGCTGTTAAGCTTGTATAGCTTAGTGTCATCGGCATACAAAGCCACCCTTACCCCATCAGCTGCTTTCTCAGGGAGATCATTAATAAATAGAGTAAACAAAAGAGGCCCAAGGAGCCTCCCTTGGGGCACCCCGGAAGTGACCAGGGTGTACTCGTTTAGAGTCTTTGACATGAATTCAATGGTAACTCGCTTTATTGACGCGGTAAAACCTATACAAGTTTACAGTAATGTTAAATACGCGTGTACGGAAAATTAAAGCTACAAAACATTATGCTACATCTTTTTGGGTTAAAGACTCGACTACAAACTGATACAGAAAACAAGATTGCCATGCCGCCATGCCGGCCATGTTGAACTCTCGCTAAGACTTATGGGGCACAGGAAGCCCAAAAATAATACAACAAGTAAATAAACAAGAGACAGTATGGTGATTCAGCGAGTAACTAATTAATTACAACGATTCCGATACACCGGAGGGGTGAATGTCGCTGAGATCACAGTCCTAACAAAGTTAAATAAACGCAAGTTCTTCAGTACAAACAACTTGATTAACTTAAAGTTCTTTCAGATTCTTCTTCATCTCCTCTTCAGATTGATCAGGATATAAATCAACAGGAATCAACAACGCCAATCGATGAACACTCCTGGATACAACGATGTCTCTTGCTCCACTGTATTCTTGGAGTTTCTCTCCTACTCTGTAGGATTTGTATCGAAGCGTAATCTGACGCACCTTACCGTCTGCACTTGGGAAGACATCTTTCAGCTCTCCAAGTCGGTATTCTCCACGCAGTGTGTTCTTGTCAGCAATTATAACRACATCTCCTGTTTGTAGGTTACGGTGAGCTGTACTCCATTTCTTCTGTACTACCAATGYAGGGGCGTAAAGCTCAGTCCATTTCTTCCWAAMCTCGTCAGTTAAAGCTTGAACAATGCGATATCGAGTATTAAGTGATGTTCCTTGTGGTTGCCATCCACGAGGGTTGACTGCTGTTGCGCGTCCAAGTAATAGGCTGTTCGGTGTCAAGATGTTCAATTCAGAGTCTGTACTAACAAGAGATCCTATAGGTCGCTCATTCAGAAGGTTAGCTACTTCGTTGCACAGCGTCTGAAATTCTGGCGTTGATAGTCGTTGATTGTGTACAGTAAAGTGTATAGCACGCTTTGCATTCTTCACGAGGGACTCCACAGCACCTTGATACCACGGACTATCCGCTGGTCCAAACACCCAAGTAGTACCTTTCTCTGTGCTTCTCCGTTGTATAGTGTCTGAATCAATCTTCTGCCATGCTTCTGTTAACTCTCGCTCTGCTCCGATCAGTTGTGAGCTTTGATCACTGTAGATGGTCTGTGGCCAACCTCTTATACTTGCAAATCTACTGAGGGGCATCAAAAATGAGCTGGTGTCATAGCCAAATACAGACTCAATGTGAACCGATCTCATGGTCAAGTCGGTGAATATTACACCATAAGCTTTGCATGCCGCTTATTCTCTTCTAAACTTCTCCTCGTACCGAGTAAGGACCAAAGAGATCCAGCATAACATTGTTGAATGCCGGGTCAGGCTTAAGTCGGACTTCAGGTAGCAGACCCATTTCTTGCTTGAGAAATGTGGCTTCTCGTAGTTTGCACATCTGACATTTTTTCTCACTGAACTGGCCAATTTACTTCCATGAGGCGTCCAATAGTGCTGTCTGAAACGTGCTAGAGTTGCGTCTCTACCTCGATGACCTTCCTGATGGGCACGTTCCATGAACAACCCTGTGCCATGATGACAGGTGGGAAGTAGTTTCTGCAATTTCGAGTCTGCTGTCATGATATTGTGTTTCCGTAGTCGGCTTCCGAACACCCAACATCCGCTCTTCTTCAGTTTGGGGCTTAGACTGTGGTATTTACCGGTCTTCTTCTCGAACTCGCTGGTTACACAACGATGTCTTTCACAACGAAGTTTTCAGCTTCAATAAGATCGTCTGCAGAAATGGTAGAGCACTTTCCACCAGTAAAGGACTTCCTCTTCATGATGCCTTGTAGACGGGCTACCACCCAGATAACCTGTTTTATGCTGCTGAATCTTTTGTAGTCAATAAGTGACACAGGTGCTTTTGACTTGGTAGTATTGGTATGGCAAGGTTTCTTCTCGCCTGGTAGTATTTCATCTTGCTGAAGGCCAAATTTCAGACCCCATTCCTCTATAGGTTTGCTGAGAACTTCGGGGCCATTCCACCACTTTAAGTTGCTGTCAAGCTCAGAGGGAGAGCGTCCACGTGTGAGCTTACGGGCCACGTCGCAGTCGACCATGTCTTTCATTTGGTTTTTATAAGTACCTGATCACTGTTCGCCTTTAGCGAGGGTTTTTTCAGTGCTTTTGATGGTAGAGAGAGCTGTGTTATAGTTATTAGGCAATGTTGAAGGGTCAGACGTCCACGGGTAGCTTGTTATACATCGTTGTTTTTGTTCATCATACTGTAAGTTCTCTTGAATCAATTTGAGTTCTTGTTCTTCCTTAAAAGAGCATGTGTGTCCAACTGTTGGACACTTGTTACAGCGGCATCCACCACATTTAGGTGTGGTTTCAGTTCCTAGTTCTTCTCCAAGAACGAAGCTATGAAGATCATTATCTTTAGTTGTTTTGCCTTTCTTATAGTTATTAGGCAATGTTGAAGGGTCAGACGTCCACGGGTAGCTTGTTATCCATCGTTGTTTTTGTTCATCATACTGTAAGTTCTCTTGAATCAATTTGAGTTCTTGTTCTTCCTTAAAAGAGTATGTGTGTCCAACTGTTGGACACTTGTTACAGCGGCATCCACCACATTTAGGTGTGGTTTCAGTTCCTAGTTCTTCTCCAAGAACGAAGCTATGAAGATCATTATCTTTAGTTGTTTTGCCTTTCTTAGCACTTACGTGGTAAATGGAGTGTTCGTTCAAGTCCTCACTTGTGTCATTTGAAATCTTCACACAAAGTGGAGGTTGAAATTCTTGGTGAACAAAAACTTGAGAGTGATTTGTCGGGGTCTTGATTCTAGTGTCGTGAACAGTCTTAACAAGATTTGAGTCGAAGACAGTTTCCTCTTTCAACTGGGGATGAGTTCCTTGTAAGGAAATGCCAAGCTCTCCACTCATCATGCTTAAGTTGTCTCCACACTTAGCTTCTTCTTTCTTAGGGTGGAGACCGAAGTAATCACACCCTAGTAGCACATCAACGTTCGTATCCTTTCTTTGTAAGCACTCTGCATTGAAGTCTGGAAACAATTTTGAAACAGTCTCAGTTTACTAACTTGCTCGGTAATGTTATCCATTCCAAAGGCATTTTGACCACTGTTTTCCTTCCTGAAACGGTTTGCAATGTGAATTCATACCCTACAGTATCATACGTTGTTTTAATGTTACCCATTGTGGTGACGTCTAGAGGGTATATTTGTTCAATCGTCTGGCTTTAATCCTGTTAGCCGCCCTTGGCTAGTGTAGGTCGTGTTTGAATCACTGTCGCAAAACACAGTAACTTCTTTGTTGGTTCCACTAACTATAACTTCCTGAATGGGATACAAAGCAAGATAGTCTGTTTTTGATACGTGATTTGATGCTTTAACATGATTGTTAGAAGTGTTCCTAGTGTTTTCAGTTTTACATAACGAGACATGATGTTGTTCACTTCCACATGCACTGCAGGGGTGTTTGTTAGGACATTCGCTTTTCAAATGATCTCCAAAACAAAAAAAGCATGCGTTTGCTTGTTTTAACATCTCAATTTTGCTATCTTTTCCTCCAATGGGCAACAGGAGGCCCAGCTAAGGAAGTTGGTGAGACAAAATTAGTTGTGGGACTAATGCTAGCACTGAAGCTAGTACTTGAATAATTTTGTCTTGGAGAGCACACTGATTGTGCTTGCCACTGGGTTGGGGGTACCAGTGGTGAACCTGTGGGTTGTCTTGATGGACTAACTTTAGATTCAAAACTTGTGTATGTATCAAATTTCCTAGGAGTTGATAAGGAATAGCTACTGCATGTAGTTGTCATTGTAGTTGATTACTGTGATGGGACAACAGAAGGTACAAAATTATGGCTAGGAGTTATGATGGTTGACAACACATCCTGATTGAAATATGTTGGCAATGGTGTTGCCATTGCACAGGTTGTATTAGGCTTGGTTGGGGTTTGTGTTGATGAGGATTTATTATGATGAATGTCTCTTTTAATAGCACAAACCGTTCTCTGTATATCCTCTACTTGCTTTAGAGTAAATTATTCCTCACTTTTAAGTTGAGAAAATTCATGTTTGTAGCCCCAAATTTCATCCATCAGATTATCTAGATCCTTTTCATCTTTATTCAAAGTTTCTTCATCACTTGAAGACAGACTTCCATTTATGACTTGAATCAACTCTTGAATCTTTATTACTGATTTTGATAATAGTGATTTTACAGACAATACCTTGTTATCTTGAATTTTTTGGCGTCTAGCAACTTTAATCTTTGTGTATTCAGCCATGGCATCATCACAATCATTCTTTACTAGCTCTTCATATGATTTGAGGTCRAGATTGTTGACGACTCTCAGTTCTTTGAACTCTTCGTCCGACACTAAGGACTCATACTCCTCCGAGACAACACAAAAATCATCAAAAGAACGTTCCAGGTCAAGAACTAAGCTTGTAAGACTCTCTTCGTCTTCTTCTCGGCGAACGGCTCCCGTTAGTCGTCTTGCACACAGACTAACGGCTTGTTTCGCCCTGCTTCTTTCGTTCTTCTTTCCCAGAACCTCTTCCATGACTGCCAGCTAGGAGAGACAACTTTGTACTTTTACCCCGAAAATGTTTTACTGTACTCGTTTAGAGTCTTTGACATGAATTCAATGGTAACTCGCTTTATTGACGCGGTAAAACCTATACATTAGTTTACAGTAATGTTAAATACGCGTGTACGGATAATTAAAGCTACAAAACATTATTCTACATCTTTTTGGGTTAAAGACTCGACTACAAACTGATACAGAAAACAAGATTGCCATGCCGCCATGCCGGCCATGTTGAAGCTCGCTAAGACTTATGGGGCACAGGAAGCCCAAAAATAATACAACAAGTAAATAAACAAGAGACAGTATGGTGATTCAGCGAATAACTAATTAATTACAACGATTCCGATACACAGGGCCCATTGCGACATAGCACTATCAAACACCACCCGTTGCAGACGGCCTGTTAAGTAATCGGAAAACCATGCTAACAAATCCCCAGAGACCCCAAAGGCCTTCAGCTTAGCGAGGAGGATTTTATGATCCACTGAGTCGAAGGCCTTGGCGAAATCTAAATATACCATATCCGTCTGAACATTCCTATCAAGAGCTTGACCGATGGTGTGTAGTACTGAGAGTAATTGCGTAATGCATGAGCGATGTTTTAGAAAACATGCTGAAAAACAGTGATAAGGTGTTTTACGTGATCGAACGTCGTTGTATGTAATGAAAGAGTTTGCACCTGAGTGCGTTCCGAGAAAAACCTTGTGATAACTCCAGAATTTTTTAGGATTTTCTTTGAAGGAATCCTCAATTTTTGCCATATATTGCTTATATATTGTTTAATTCGAATAATGTTTTTTAGATCTTGACTCAGGGATTGATTTACGTTTTGGTGTTTTGTTTTGACGAAACTTCCACAAAGCAGAGTACTTTTTTCGAATTAAGTGGCGCACTTCACCATCAATCCAAGGGGAGGAGTTTGTATCGCAAATTTTTCCATCTGCAATATGGTCTTTAACAGCCATCAGAAACATATCTTTCCATCTGGACCAGTGTTCATCAAGATTTTCATCCTCTGCAAGCTCGGAAGGAGTGTGCGTGAGGGTTTCTCGTAGATCATCGAGATTTCCATTCTTGAAAACATAAACATCACGCAACGCACCCTTAGACCGCCGGAAACGTAGTTTTATTGTAAATTCGATGACATAATGATCTGAAGGGAAATGTCCTTCTTTTGGATTTAAAGTCAGGACATTCTCAATAACCTCAGGACAGTTTGATAGCAAAATGTCAAGCTTGTTACCAGCGATATGCGTAGGGCCGTGTATAAATTGTTGTAGGAAATTATCACCCATTAGATCGCAGAAAGTGTTGTGGTCCGCATGGGAGCCTTTGTTTACTGGTGCAGTTTGGTCTTCAGACCAGTCTAGTTCCGGTAAATTGAAATCTCCTAAAAGTATGAGAGAGAGCATGATGCTCAGGCTATCATGCATACTAATGCTAATTTATGCCAAATTGGCAAAATGTCCGGAAAAACAATAGGATTCTGCCCAATGTAGCAATGTACTTCGCTCTTCTAGCGATACAAATCCAGCGGTTGCACTACCCGGAACTTCTCACCGCTTCGGGGCTCGTTCGGAAAACGGCTCGCCTCTTTGGGGCTCGCCATCGTTCTTATGGGTCAGCAGAAAACCATATTTAAAAACAATATGGTGGTTATTTCTATAGTGAACTAATCGATCGAATCAACGGATTAAAAAAGGTAACAAATAACGTAGCATTTTGGCGTGCTCCCTTGGTTATTTCATCATTTTTCATCGATTTCACAAAACAAATGAATAAATGACTTGTTTCACGGATCAATTAAATTTTCCCTACTTTTGTTTTGTGTTTGTTGTTATTGATTTGAAGCAAAATAATAAATATAATAAAGTATGTTATCGCAGAACTGAGCTTTTATTTCAAGGCAATCTACATAAGAGTATTTTATTTTTTCTAATACTAGAATCTAATTGATATATGGGATTTTCTCTTCAAGTGTTGAAAAGACCTCTCACGAGTGAGCGTAGCGTATAATTAAAGTGCGGGTACGATGAGATCCGAGGATAGGCGGATTTTTTTAGTTTTTGCTAGTTTATACTATTAATAATACCATAAATAAGGTATTTTACATTTTAGATGAAGAGAACATGTTGAAATTTGCCATTATTGTTGTCGATTTTCGATCCGCCATTAACCGGCAGCCATTTTGGAAGATGAAGGCCGTAAGGGGCTGGTATCGAATTTTGACATCATATGCTTAACACGAGTGAATTTGTCAACATGAACTACCGTGTGAATCCAATGTGAATCGAATGTTGTTTTCGAAATATTGCAATGTTTTTGGCAGAAACTGTTATCTTACGTTATGAGCTGTATTGAAAATTTATCACTGACTCCATACGTATATTCTATCTGATGTTCCAGCTCAGTTTTTTAGTGTTTCTGAATGAGACGTTGCTGTCTGACAAGTTTTGTTGTCAAAAGCACAACAAGCAAACAAGGGTGAAGGTTTGATTGCTAAATAATTATTTTTGAGATATTAAGATATTTTGCAATTGAATTTCGTTATCTTGGTCGTGCTATTGAATAGTTGGAAGAGGGAACTAATCGTTTAGAAGGATATAATCTTCAATTAGAGTTCAGTA